GAACAAGCAGAGGCAAAAGAAAAAGCTTCGCAATAGCCTGCAATACTCTAATATTTACATTTGAATGTATACAGGGTAAGCCAGAAAACTGAGAACAAATTATACACATTTCTACACATTTTAACAAAAGAAAAAGAATTATTCAATAAAATTGTCCTCGGTCTCAATGACGGCTTTGACGCGGCCTCAGAAGCAACTGCATGTCCGAGTCAAGCGGTTTTCATTTATACTACCCCCGATAGCAACCTTCAGCGATCCCTTGGTATTATGGAACCGCTAGTTAGTCTCCCCCTCAACGATTACACATACAGATGTTTAGCAGATAGAGCGCTAAGTGGCCATATGTTGGTAGGGTAACAAAATCGTGAGAATTCTGTCAGTAACTCCTTTGTTACATGGCACATTTTTTAAAAAAAAATCATTTAACCCCAAACAAGGCAATAAAATTACTAAGCTGCAAGGGGTTACTAAATGTGAGAAAACATATTCATGACAGGGAACAATAAAAGAATAGGAATTAAAAAGACTGAAGATAACGATTGACATCTCATTTTGTTGACAGAAAAGCAAGAAGCCGGAAGCGAATCCCCAAGCCAGGAGTGTCGGAGAAGAAACTGTTAGCGTGGAAGTTACCGTTACATTCAGCCATTTCAACTGCCAAATGATGAGACCTTGCCGCAGTGACGTACAGAGGTATGATGATGCCTTGAGCCAACTTCTTGATTATATGCCCACCCCCCTAAGACTCAAGTAGGAGGAGTCTACACGGCCTATTACTGAGAAATGGGAGAAAGGAAGACATTTTAAATATGCAATAACAGATGAAACATAAAATAAACACTTTATTCAAATTAAATATAAACTAAATTTTTATTTCATTCTTTGATTGGGTGCTCTCCTGATATGGATGCCCGGGGCCGTGGCGCCCTTTGCACACCCTTCTGCACTCTACTGCCTTGACGTCAATATAAGCCAGTGCTACTAGGTACCATAGAGGAAAGAGATATTTATTTAGAATAATATAAAAATATGACACAAGGCCATAAGTGGGGATAAGGGGAAGGCTGGTCTTAAACTTAGCTCGTCACGATTACTGACCCAAACATACCACAGCATTCCTTGCACCAAAACAACGCATTCTTACTTACCATTCTTACTACAGTCACCATAATACCACAGAGTCTCTATGTAGTCCTAACTAGTTCCCATAGGTACAATTTGTCTGTGGGGAATAAAATAACAACATTTAAAAATGAAACCCCAATGAATATTTACAATGAATACAATATATATATATATATATATATATATATATATATATATATATATATAAAAAAGAAAGTTCATCAGAACAATTACCATGAAAATATTTATAGAAAAGGCCCAGAGAAGCTATGTTAAGGTGTTAGGAAAGTGACTGAAAACGAGTCTTGGGTAAGACGGTAAACTACATCCAACAGCAAGCCTCTGATCAGTAGGTTTTGAGAAGCGTGGAACCCCCTCATAATTGCTGGTGTTCCCAGGACCACCCTGACCCCAGGTGGTAGCACCTGTTAGGATCCCAACTATGGGCAAATAGTTAATCCCCCAAAAGGGGTCAAAGCACTATGAAAGTATAAAAATACATTTTAATACCAGCAATACATTTTTGGAAAAAATAATATTACCAGCAATGAAAATCTTGTCGGCATTAAATAACCTATTGAGGTTGATATGCCATAAAACAAATCAAACCAAATCGAAATACATTGCATCAGACAATACGTGAAAGCGATATTCAGTGCATAGACAAATGGTAGGCTCATGCGAGAAACTACTAATGGAACGTGTACGCCCCCCCCCACTCAATCCACCATATGTATTTACCTTGGTATGTAGGCGGTACTATTGATGAGATGGTATTGATTCTGAGGTACTGCAGGAATAATCGGAGCAACGAAATAGCCTTCTTTGTTCACGGCTCTCCAGGGACTATCACAAAGTCAACTTTTGATAGAATTCTGCATAGAGTTGACTAAGGTTTACTGTGTTCACTTGGTCATTTTCAAGAAGCTGGCTCTATCAGCGTTGCTCTGAGCACGGCCCGCGTGTTTCGTTTCCTACATTAGACTGGAAGCTGTAATGTTAATGCTCTTGATACGTCTGAGAGAGAGAGAGAGAGAGAGAGAGAGAGAGAGAGAGAGAGAGATGAGAATGTTAGAAATTTGGCGCATGCCGCGTCACATTACGTTAGGTTGTTTTCCATTTATGAACCGTCAAAGGTGCGTTCTCAAATACCTCGCGCACTCAGTAAACACGTGTTTTCGTTTTACCATGTTCTCAGAGTAACAAGAGAAAGGAAGATCCCACTTTCCAGAGAGAGAGAGAGAGAGAGAGAAAGAGAGAGAGAGAGAGAGAAAGAGAGAGAGAGAGAAAGAGAGAGAGAGAGAGAAAGAGAGAGAGATAGAGAAAAGTCTTTGCTTTCGGCCTTAGGACAAAACGTAATATTTTTAATTTTGCTTATAAAACGGAGAAAAAGTTTTTGTATTTTTTTTTTTTTTACTTATGCTAAATTTTCCCTTGTATATATATTTTTACTTTTATTTTTCTTGCTTAATTTAACCCCGTTATTCCTTGTCCCCTTTCCTTATCTTTCTTTATCTATCTATGTTCCACCCCCAACCGTCGATTTTCTGCTTGTTGGTGACATTTTATTTTATTTTATCTTTACGGTATGATCTTCAGCAAACTTCTCTTTGCCCCTCTTTTTGGGAGTAAAGAGATTAAAAAAAAAAAAAAAAACGACCGGGGAGGGGATAGTCCTTGTACTGTTTTAACACTATTCCTCCCCCACCCACGTAAGCAAGTTCCAACTCCTCTAACTCTTTCCCCTTTCCCGGTATTTTATTTACTTATTTATTTTATTCATACACCCAATCTCGCCAGATAACACGCTTTCTCGTTTAGATATTTACCAGGCTAGTTTTAGTCTATCGCAAGAAGGCCGTTCTAATTGAGAGTATGATCAAACATACTACACTCGCGAAATGGTCTTTTTTTTCTTTTTTAAATCCGGTATCACCCCGTGCAAGGTAATAAAGCCACTAAGACACAAGTAGTTACAAGGTGTGAAAGAATTAGGAACAGAAACATTAATAATGAGCGGGAAGGGGAAAGAGTAATAATCGGAACGACAGTAGATAGCGACTCATGTTGCATTTAAATTATTTGCAGATTAAAGTTGGCCGGAAAGCATAGAGCCGGAAGGGAGTTCCACAGGCGAGAGGTGCGAAAGAAAAAACTGTTATCATAAAATTTACGGTCACATTTAGCCAGTTCAACTTTAAATTGGTGAGATTTCGACGCCAGTCAAGTACTGTGTTTAAACTAAAAAAAATCTCGGCACCATAGCAAAATAAACTTGCTGACCGTCGGTGATACGGTGGGCATCTTTGCATCGATTAAAAAAAATTCCATGTCCCTTCAGGTCATGGGTGATCATAGCTCTCCACAGATTCCTTTTCTTTCTTACCGTATGAATTGCTATGAACACTTTCTTAAAGATTGTGCAGTGGTTTCCTGTTGACTTTTCTACGATTTAGAATTCAGAGTTAGAATGATAGCCACGCAAGGCTAAAGAGCACAGTCTACCCTACTATTTAATTCATAGCTAGAAGGAGTAGTGATGTGTTAACGACACTTTTCCCAAGAGCATTTGTGCAAAAGTGAAAGCAAATGTCTAATTTGCGAATTTAGAACTTGGCTCGCCGATTCCATGTTCTACATCGATGGCGACAATTATTATATTTACAAAGTCAGGTGCAGCTTAGTGCGACACAAGGCTGCAAATGTTAAGCACTCAGTACAGACCGATCTCACTAAAGTAGTAATTGTCTGCAAGACTAGCTTGTTAACTAGCTCAACGGCGTGGCGCGCAAGATGCTTACAAGACTTAGCTTTGTTCGTCATAGACCCGTTTCCAGAGAATTTTGTGGGGGTAAAAAAGCCAGCCATTAAGTCAAGTGGAGGTGAGGGACGGGTAAAAATCTGAATGCCAAAATTAGCCTATATTATTTTCACGTGGAGCGAGGAGGTGATTTTGGTCGGGGAGCTATATTTGGTGTTGCACGGTGGAGTAATGGATAGCGGCTCGGTTTGAGGAATCGGAGAGCCAAGTTCGAATTCCAGTCGAATCCATTACATTTACTTACGTGAATAATACCCTTGGAAAAGACACGAATCCTCTTCTTCTCCTTGGTTAAATAGCAGGACAGACCGGGTTCTATAGCCTTGGATGGCAACCGGTCTACCACAGAAAGACAATAGCAACCTACTATGGGAAAAAATCTGCCTTGTCAGTCATGTATCGAAAGATACATGATCGCCTAAGCGTGTATCACGCATGGCACATAACGGAGTTGATAAAAATAATACTTTTCTCGAGTTTTTCCACAGACATCAGGGAGAGCCTAAAAGTCTTTGTACAATAGTGAAGCGCTGTTTGAAAACGCCAAGCTAAGATTTACTTCAAACTCCCTGAATACCTAATAAGCTAAGACAGCTTAGTTTATATTAATTAGTTACTTAGCTTAGTCTGGCACAAGGCCATTATAAAGAAGTGCCCAGTGAGAATCGGTTTGCGATACAAGTTTACAGTTTACTTAATGCTTACCATCGGGCTAGAACATATGTATTTCTTGTGGCGCACACAGTAAGGATAGAACTCAGTATACTAGTGAATTAGCTGAAATACCTAGTTTCCCGCTCAGTAACCATCGACCTGAAACAGGCGCCCTTCTCTAGCGAAAGTGTGTGAATTTTATTTTTTTAATATATGAACTAAAATTTATATGAAATTAGTATTTTAAACACTGATTTTTGGTGCCATTCCTAACTAGAAGATTGGCACAACACAATCTTTATAGCAATTCTTTTCTTTTTTTAGTCCTTTGTAACGTGAACAGTTCTCTTATTTTCTGTGTCTGTTCAAGTTTGTATTTTAAATCCACGATTTCGAATCAATGACTGAATTTTTTAAGCAAATCCAACGAACTCGACATCCTCGGATGACTGGCGCAACTCAGTCTTTCTATCTATATTTACCCCTTTTTGTCCTGTGTAAGTTAAACTTTGTAAATATCAATATATTCATCTGCCCGCTCGAGATATTTAAAGTCTGTTCTTTTCCTTTCTTTCTGTGCGAATTTCATATCCTTTCGTTGTTTACTTAATAACTTCTCTTTCTCCCTATTTCTTTCTTTCTATTTGTCTTCCCTTTCACTCCCTTTAAATCATTTCTCTCTCACACACACACTCTTCATCCCTACCTCCCGCTTTATTTCTTTGATTACCATCCACTTCACCCTCCTACCTTGCCTATTACGATCGCTCCGCGCTTACTCTCTGTATCAACCGTCCTCCCACTCTGTGCTTCCGTGTAAGCGCCTAACCGAACTACTTCGGCAATTTCCGTCATTCTCCGTCATCGTCATCGTCGACTCAGTCGGACACATGTTTGACATTTAATATGGCCGCCGCTCGTGAACAGCAGTGAAGTGATTTGCCATTCGGAGATCGACTCTCTTCTTCTTCTCTTGCCATGCCAACCGCCAGAGGAGATTCCCCCTCGTCTTTATTGTCGTCTCGTCCTTCTCCTTCATATCGTCATCGTTTTCTTACTGTTATTACAACTACATCTACTAACATCACCGACAACAGACTTCAGCGAAGTGGGTCTATATGTTGATAATACCAAAAACCAAGAGAGACACAGAGAGTGTGTGAGAATTGTTTTACAAAAGAAAAATGAAGGAATGGTGTGGATGAGGATTTTTTCTGATCGATGCAGGCCAAAAAGCGCTACTTTCTAGTGACTTCGTTTGGGATTGCACTCTTGCTTAGCTTGGGCTTTATCAAGGACCGTCATGGCGATATTCCCTTGTCCCGAAGCGTGGAAAGTGAAAGTGCCAAAGGACGTTCTTATATGGATGAGGACGACTACAACTTTGGCGACGACTTGCACATCTCAGCTAAACAACGTCGCATGTCGATGTCTCCCCGATTTGGGGATCAACCACGAAAACATCACGGGAACACCTTCCGAAAGGATTGTCGCATGGAGACGTGTTTTGATTTCAATCGGTGTCACCAAACCGGCAAGTATGGTGTGTACGTGTACCCGGAGTTGGAACGGGTCTCAAGCACTTACAGCAAGATCCTTACAGTTATTCGGGAGTCTAGGTACTACACGGCAGACCCGGCGAAAGCCTGCATATTCGTTCTTTCCATGGACACTCTGGATAGGGACGTTCTAAGTCGAGATTTTGTTAAGGACATACAAATGAAATTAGACAAACTAGAATTATGGAACAATGGACGTAATCACATCATTTTCAATCTCTATTCGGGTACTTGGCCGGATTATGCGGAAGATTTAGGCTTTAATATTGGTGAGGCCATGCTGGCCAAAGCCAGTATATCCCGGGCGAATTTCCGACCGGGTTTCGACGTGTCCATCCCGTTATTTGCAAAGGACCACCCGTTGAAGGGTGGCGAACCGGGTCACCTCCATGTGGCCTCAAACAGTATCCCTTCCACCCGACAGTATATTCTGTCTTTCAAGGGAAAACGTTACGTTATTGGTATTGGATCTGAGACTCGGAACTCTTTGTACCATATTCACAACGGTCGGGACATCGTTTTGCTTACGACTTGTAAACATGGAAAAGATTGGCAAAATTGGAAAGATGAAAGGTGTGAAAAAGATAATGCCGAGTTTGACAGGTAAGTAAAAGTGGGTAACAACTAATGATGAGGTTGAAGAAAAGGCTGTCATATAATTATTAATAGTTTAATTATTCTTAGTTTTTTTTGTTTTTTTTTTTAAAGCTATCTGCTCTTTTTTGTTGTAAACAATCATTTTTGTTTGTAAAAAAAAAATATCATTTTTTTTTCTAGTAATTCAGTTAAAAAGAAATCATGCATTGTTTCTGTCAGACTTTAGTTTAAAAAAAAGATAGTTTTTAATTTTTGGCTTTGATAAAACTAAATCCTTACCTTTTTAGTTTTAATGACTCTTAAAATAAGAATATGAATTATATAGTAATTTTTATTCATTATCGTCTCTCACCTGCTTTTTTTGTTTTCATTTTGGATGGGGAGGAGGTATACAAGTATTTTTCTTTAAAATAATAATAAACAAACCCAACTAAAAAATGTTGATTAGAGAGAGAAAGACGAAGAAACTGATAACATTTTCTCCCCATTTTGACGATAGGTATTTAATTTCTGAGATATGAATGAATTGATAATTAAAAAAAAAAGTAACCATCTACTTCTACTATAAATTACTATTAATCGTGTGTAGATTGTTTTTAATGTAAACATTTTTAACAAATCTTTGTCATAGGCAAAAAAAAAATATTGTTACCATCCAAAAAAAGTGCTACTAACAACTACTTATACTTTATTAACTAGCAACTACTTACATTTTTGTGTTACTTTTAAAACAAATAGTTACTAAGAATATGTTATAAATATTCACTTATTGATCACACATAGTTTTATCGGCTATATTTTAGTTAAAGGTTTCAATAAATAATAGCAGGATCACTTTTAAATAAATCATAAACATTATTTTGGTCAGGGTAAATAACATTTTTATGCAAAACGCCATGTTTATGTTTTTAGCCTGACTTAAAGAACATAAAGATCAAAATATTTAAAGTCTTAAGAACTAAAATAACTTTCAAATGGCAAACAATCTGAAATAAATATTATTTTAATATTGGTAATTGTACATTGTGTACTTTTTCTTTACAGCATTGCTTTTTTTCTTGAACAAAATTACTACTACTATACACTTATTTTTTTATTTACCGTAAGAACATTTTTTTTTTAAATTTTGGCTTTGTCTGTAAGAGTTAATATTAAATAAAATTTTATTTTGTTTTAAAGTGCTAATTTTTTTTTTTTTTTTTTTTTTTTTTTTTAAATATTGGAAAATTTTCCAGGTAAATAAAATACGAATTTTTCATTGAATCTAAAAGTCAGTACACACCGGGGCTTCCTTGGATTTTGTTATACCAAAGGTTGTTATAAAACCTGGATTGTTTCGTCTCACCGACTCTAATCAATCACTTTTTTTAGTTTTCTCAGTCGAAATAAGTTAGATTTTTTTTTTTTTTTAATCATAAATTTGCATTACTTTCTCATAACATTTTCTCGTGTCTGTTTCGTTTATCAACTTGTTTATATCCGTATATCAGCAGTACAGGCACGCGACATGAAAACAAATAAAAACGATTCGTTTGTAAATGTTACTACTAAGTTTGGAATGGTTTGTCTGGAATAGTGAAACTAACGAAATTATTGTTTTGAAATTAATAGGTAAAACATGAATTAATGCTATATTGTTTTTTTTTTTTTCTTAGTAAATGTCATCTGTTTCGAAAACAACTGCACTGGCAACTACTACTACTATTTCATTGTTTACGGTCCTTTAAAACTAAAGTGACATGTATTATTGTTACACCTGCTCTGATTGTACTAACGACTCTTTTTTTTTTTCCCCTCTCTCTCTCTAAACAACTACCTTTCAATGAATCCATGCTACTACTATATTAAATTTGTCTCTTAAAAAAAAAAAATCACTAGGTGTCTTTATATCAGACATCTTTGAAGAACAAAATGGGCCATATTTATTTAGAAAGATCGAATGTGTTCATTAAAATGAAATAAAATAAAGGAAAAAAGGAAAATTAATTTTTCTAATTAAAATTTAAAATTTTAATTGAAAATTAAAATTTAAAAATTTAGTGAAAATCTTTTAATTAACTAACATGATTTTACTCCCCCTATTCATTATTTATGCACACACACAAACGTGTTCGTAATATACACCTTAATTAATTAGATACTATACTAGTGAACTATATGCTAAATAAATACTAGTACTACATTCAATAACCACAGTAGTAAGTAGAAGAGTAGTTAGTCATCTGACGTGCTGTTGTTTTGTACCTGATCTACCTAACTTAACCTGCCGCTACTATAATCATCTCGGGAGTATATTTGTGTAAACAACGACAGAATTAAATATATTTTACCAATGTCTTTTTTTTTTTTTTTTCTTGTCCATTCATTCAAAACAGCGGCTACACTGCATGTGTATCGTCTGAAAATACGTGGTGATAGTAAATAAATATTCTTGCATTTATCCTTAAGAAAATGCGATTCCTTGCTGCTTTTTTTGCCCACAGTAAACTGACTAGGGTACTACTTAGTAATACCAGTTTCGTGTGTTTATTTTGCTTTTGGTGCTTACAAGTGCTTGTCTCGTTCAACGAAAAAGTGTTTCGTTTTCTCCACTTATTCATTGATTTGAATAAAAACGTGACTGCCTTTTTTTTTCTTTTTTTGGTGACTATCGTGTCCACCGTCTTGTGGCTAAAAAAAATTGTAGTTTCGAATCCCGCCGGTAGCGAAATTCTAATGTCTTAATTTAATTATTTATTTATTTTGAATCTTATTTAATTTTAATGAATCTGTAGAGGTGATGAGTCGAGAGAAAATGAATTCTTCAATTAAAAAACCCAGTTGAGTAAGAAGAAGTTGGTATATTTTTCAACAATGGTTATGTCTTTTTCTCTCGGAATGTTTAATTATTAAACATGCTAATTACAGTTTAATAGCATTTTCGAAATTAGTGATTACTGCTTACTCGATTCTTAAAGACAAAAATAATAATAAAAAGACAATACTACACGCATATATACGAGTTGGTGGTAAAAAGTTCTTTAGCCCAATGCATTTCTCAAAATGACCAAATAATAACTACCTTTTTTAAAATTTAAATAAGTGTCTTTCAGGGCCGAGAACTTCTCAGCACTTTTATACACGCGTGCATTAATGTGTGTGTAATCCAAATGGAAATGTGGGAGAGTAGAAAAAGCAAAAAAAAAAAAAAAAAAGTCACCGTTTTATGACGGAACCCACTTTTTCACAATCTAGTCATTTTGAATTGCGAATTGTCTTTGAAGTATTAATATTTGAACACGTTAATTTCGTAGTAATATTTGAGTTGGCTATAGCACATTATTTCGCAGACACAGCTTATACAGGAAAATTCCAATAAATTTGGTTTAATAATTCGCACTTGATTGATTATTAATCCTTTTTGCTTCTTGTAAATTACAAGACCTAAATTAATTTTCTAAAAAAAAATTCAGCATTCTTCTGTTGACGTCAGTATTTTTTCGGCGCCGAATATCAAATCTAAAACCATTTTTTATAGTTTCGCTTCTTTGTTTTTTATCAATTCATTCCGCTCTAAAGAATATTTTTATCACCTGTCATAAAAAAAAAAAAAGAAGCAATCTTGCATTTTCTTTCTCTTGTTTTCACGTACTGTTTCACTCAGATTTTTAATCGGTTGAATTGAAAGGAAAGAGATAATTTCATCCGGTGACATTGACTCGGCTGGTGACTGATAAGAGGAGAGTTGCCGGTCGAAATAACTTGTGTAAACAAGATTTTTTAGTGGAGTGCACTTGTCTGGATGAATTTTATTTTTCTTCCACTTGCAGTCAGGATCTACTGCCATCGTCAGGTGCCCGAGTCATGCTCATTACCACAAACTAATTAGAATAAAAACTTTTAAAATAAGGATGATGCATCTTTCTAGGCCAGGGGTTTTTGTAGATGTACGAGTGTGTGTCTTACAATACTTAAAAAAATAATTTCGACTCAAATAAGAAGACTTGCTTTTTTCCTAAATGACTTTTTTTTTAGCGAAAGAATTGTCGATTAAGAAAATTCTTCGATTTTAGTTTGCATTAGTAGAAATTAGTAATTTCACTCATTCATAAACTTTTTTTTCAGCGTGTTTGTTTTTAAACAATTTATTTCTGTTTTTAGTTCAGTTTATTGGGTTTTAATTTTAAATGAAATTTAATTTCTATTTTTTTTCTTTGTAGAAAATATGACGAACTAATACGTGATTGAGAAATCCACATTGTTAAATTTAAAATTGAACATAATCGTTATGTGGGAGTTAAAGTACACGCACTTGATATCACAGTACATTTACAAATTGATTTTTTTTTTTTTTTAGTAAATCTAAAAAACACATACAAGTCATGTCATATTGTCGAACAAGTGCCTTGGTGTCTATTTCAAACCCTGTAACAAACCACTAACAGCTAAATTTTATTTTGAATATTCCCATAAGCTTTTTCTTTGTTTCCTTAAACATTATTGTAACTTTATTTTTGTATACCAGCATTTGAGAACGGGATTAAAGAATACTGCTGACTCAACACACATACACAATAAATTATATAGTGACGTGATGCCAAGCACTTCAATTTTATATTATTGTACTAATGTACTTGGTTAATTTTCTTCTTCAAACCGTAATTGTTAATCTTTTAGTTTTTCTTTTTAGCAATGTTTCTATCCATTTTTTTTTCTTTTTGACAAAGTGTCAAAGTTTTTTTACTTTGACACTTCACTATATTTTTTCAGTTTGGTTTTTAAAATAATGAAAATTACATTATTAAAGATATTTATTTTAAATTCTTTATTTCAAACATTCCATCAATAAAAAAAATCGATATTTGTGTAGAGAGGCCAGTGTGAATAGTTTTTAAAAGTATTTTCTCTCGTTTGGGAGCGTTTTTAGCTTTAGATGACAAGCCCTTATGGTAGAAAAAAGTAAATTGTACTACAGACTACACACAATATATCAGTCTTTCTTTAGTTTTGTGTTTTTGTAATCTTTG